TATATATATTTCATAAAACCTTAAAAACAAAAGTGTTTTTTATTTAAATTATTATAATTAAAAGTAATCACGGAATGTTAGTTTGCGATGGAACATTTTATTATAAAAAATTGGTCCCCGTTTTACCTTTATTGAATGGTAAATTTAGTAGGATGCATTTATTTTGAATTTTTTTTAATGTAAAATTGTATTTAGTCAATCGATGCAATTAAAATAATGAAGAAAAAAAATTTATAATTCGAAAGCAATATTAATAATTACCTTTCTACACTATTGTTATACAAGAGCTTTTCGTCAAAAATATTTAGCGAGATTTTAGAGTAGCCAAAATATAAAATTTTCAAAAAACAATTTTGCTGTGGTTTAAGTTGCTAGGGTAATCGAGAAAAGTGAATTGATTAAATTTTGTTGTTACCAGTCAACTAAATCCGGGGTATGTACCAAAACTGCTTAAATAGAATAAAAAAATTTTGGATTTTTTATATTGAATAATTTTCAATTTTAGCTCGACAAACTATTTGAAAAAGAAAAAGTGATCGCGAATCAACGGTGAGCAAAGCGAGCAGGGAGTAAGTATTAATACTACTCAAATAGAAGTATTTTGGATATTTTAACTAAAAACTAATCATGCGTTAGCTAAAATTTTATTTCTGACACAACGGATAATTATACGAAAACCAAACTTTACATACTTTATAAGGTATGATGCTTCTTTGAAGAGATGACAGTTTACGTAAACGGCACTTTCAATGCCATCCCTTCACTAAAAAAAAATTTTTGAAAAAAATTCTCACATTAGAGAAATGCATTAAAAATCGTAGAGATAGTTTTGAATAAGAACAATTTTAATTCTTTGCTAATAGTAATTATTATAAAAAATAAACGTTCATACTGTCCTTACTAATAAAAAATACTAATTAGTTTTTTAATTAACAACTCCAATTTTCTAATTAATAATTTCCAAAGTTTTAAAAAATTTCCAAATACAAGATACACAAAAGTATTATAATTCAAAAGTGTTACCCCTTGTTTCCTTTAACATGCATCAAAAATTTTGTTTTAAATTGTAAAATTTTCGAAATCATATTTAGCTTTCTAATTTATTTTTCATAGATATATTCGTGTCACGTCATATACATGAATTCAAAAATTTTAAAAATATTCCAAATGCAAGATATAGAAAATTTTGTAAATAAAAAGATTTACCCCTTACTTATTTTAGCATGCATCATACATTTTGTTTTAAATTGTATAAAAAATTGCATTATATTTCGTAGGTTTATCAGAAAACAAAATAAAAATTAATTTGAAAGAATTTATAAATTCAATTACATAATCGTTTTCTTTCCACTAAGTTTTAAAAACACCATTAAAAAAATATGTTTGAAATTAGTATCCTTACGTAAGAAAACCGCGCCATCTATCGGATTACCGAACACATTCATTTCCAAAAATTGACCATTTATTCTACAACTGCGTAAAATTCCTTTGCGCTTAAAATAATATATTATTAAGTGCTTACAAATTATTCTAATCGAAGCAATAACGTAATAGCATCGCGTGGCTCAAGGTCATTAAGTTCTTTGGAATATCTAAACAAATCAAAATATCGACACATAGTTAGCGTGTTTCGTTTTATTACTGGATCTAACAAATACGTTAAAGTGATAAAAATAAAAATAGAATGTTTGAGTGAAAATATATTTTATCGTTTGTTTTATTAAAAAAAAAATCTTTTTATTTTTATCGTATTTTTCTTAATTATACAGTTTGTTTTAACGATTACTATTCACGAAGAACAAACAATATTAATTTTTAATTTATATACCTCCAAACGCATTAATTTTATATAAAAAAATTTAGCAGACATTGTTTTATATTTAATTGTAAATATATTGTTTGATTAATAAATAATCGTGAAAGGCATGAATAAATTATTATTATTATTTCTTTTTAACATTTTATTTAAATTCTTAGTATAAGTGTTAAAGAATGTTTAATTTCATACGAATAACAAAGATAAAATAAAATTGCAGTTAATAAAAATAAATTTTTTGACGCATGTTTATAAAATAAGTTAAAAGAATTCAGAACATTTTTTAATTACTGAGAAAAAAAGCCAAGTTTGCAAAAATATAATTAATATATGCTTATATCGAGTACAGAACGCATGCAGACTTAGGGATTTTAATTGTTTAATAATGATTGCAATTATGGTAAATAAAAATAATTTATATTTTTTTATGAATGATAAAAACAAAAGGTAACATTATGTTATTATGTTAGTTGAAATTGATATTTTTTACTAGTTTCCTGTTCTTTATAAAAACAATTGCTTTAAACTAAACTAGACTAAAATAAATAAGTATTATTTTTTTTTGAAATTCATGCAATATATTTCTTTTAGGTTTGCAAAAATCTTAATGTATTATAGAATTTAAAAGTTTGAATAACGTGTATTGTTTATTGAAACTACGTAAGTAAACTGTTCATGGAAATAGTTCAATTATTTTAAATACTAAATTTTAAGTAAGCAATCGTTGATTATTTTAAAAACACATTTTCTTTCACCTATTGAATAACTATATTGTAGAATAATGAAAGTTTAAGGAAGTTATGCGAGCATTTATCAATCAGCAGAATCTTCTTCTTCACTGGTGCGACAGCCATTTGTGAGCCGAGGCTATTTTTATAATCTTCTTCTATACAGCTCTTCTTTTCAAGGACTATTCAATTGGGTCCATTTTAGTGTTTTAAAGTACTCATTGATGCAATTAACTTATCTTAATCAATTATATTCATTATGAAAACGTTTACTAATTAAAATAATCAATTATCATATTAGGCAAACATTTATCAATCAATAGAAATAATATACTATTATATAAATATTTACCAATCAATAATATCTTCAAAGAATTATGCAAACATTTACCAATCAGTGGAATCCCCATACCATCATAAATACCATTATGAACACCTTTTTCAATTAATAGAATCATCTTTTTATTATGAAAATATTTACCAATCAGTACACTGAAAACAAAAGTGTGGTCAAAACTGCCTGAATATAATAAGATTCTTTGTGTGTTTCTGGCTCCATATGAGAATAATTTTAATTATTTTATAATTTAAAGAAGGTAATAATTTTGGTTAAATTAACGATAAAATATGGTTTTACATGTGATAAAATTCGGCAATTTTGTCACGGAATGAAATCTTCTATTTATTCGATTAAATTAACTTTTCAAATTAGTATATATATATATNAATTGTTTTAGATTTAGATTATAGGCATCTATTTTTATTGAATTCAATACACAACTCAGGAAAAAAATAAGAACATAAAAAAATAAAATAGAGCATCAATAAGAATATCTATATATATATATATATATATATATATATTTTACTAAATGTTTGGTAATAGGAGCTATAATTTTGAAAACGAAAATTTCCGGTAAACTGTTACCATATGAATGGTAAAATTACCAAATGAAAGGCTTACATGACTTATATTTTCAGTTTATTACTGGAAGTATGATATATTTTACCAGAAAAGTTGTACCATACAATGTGGTAATTTCACCGAATCTTTTCTCCGTGTGTTACCATACTATTTTGCAAACATACAAATAATAGAATTTCCATACTCTTACGCAAACATTTCTCAAACCAATAGCCATACCATGATGCAAATATTTACCCATCAAACGAATTCACCATATCCTTATGCAATCATATAGAAGCTTATTAAGGCATCTCAGTAATAGAATCACAATAGAATTACACTTATCACCCTACCTCGGCAATAAAATCACAATAAGGAATTTTTTTTTAAATTTTCAATTTTAAACTTTTTAAAAGTAACGAAATTCAGGAAATATTGTAGTACATCAAGATATTTTATGGTTAAGAATTTGTTAAAACATCCATAATTTCCGAATACATAAAATTTAAAAGCTAAGCTTAAGTTGTTCTTAAAAAATTCTACATGGTTTTTAAATTGCTTAATACTACAACCGCGAGTTTTTGAATTTGTACACAGCTCAAAATCTGAGTCTAAAAAGTGGAAAAACTTTAAATACTAGTTTAAGGCTCAAAAACGCATGCTTACGAAAACAAACGCAGCTCAAAACACGTGTCAAAACTGTTTTGACCTTATGACACGGTTCAAAACACGTGTCTAAGAAAATAAACATTGTTATTTAAGAAAATGAACACGGATATTTGAGAAAATAGACATAGCATATGATTTCGTTTTTCAAACTTCTTTTATTAGTCTATTTCATTTTTTAGAGAATAAACTAATAAATTCAAATAAACTCGTAATGCGATATCATTCATTTGCATAAATCACTTGGTATATTTTATTAAATTAGACATTAAAAAAAAAAAGAAAGAACTTTAAAAATCAACACTTATGTTTTGCAAGATTAATACGAGTGCTATAAATTCAAAATAGTGGCAATAAATTTGTGTTGTATCCATGAATTTAGAGTTTCAAAACTCACTTCATAGTTTAGAGTTTTGAATACGATGAAAAGTTACGCTTGTAATATACCTAGTCACTCCGACACCTAAGTCCGACTTTTTGTCCCGTAATGACTATGGTTAGTGTTTAAATAAGTAAGGGAAAGTAAGCACGTAGTTCCTCATTTTGTTGTTAAAGTTTGGTTGAAAGCTGAAATTTACTAATCAGTACACTGAAAACAAAAGTATAATCAAAACTACCAGAATATAATAAAATATTTTGTGCTTCTGACTCTATATGAGAATAATTGTAATTATTTTATAATTTAAAGACGGTAATAATTTTTGTTAAATTAATGCTGTATCTATTTTCACACTTCGGGCTATAATTTAGACGATCGCTTTTTAAACATTTTATGCAGTCAGTTGATTTGAAATATTTATCATTCATCTACTTAAAAAAAAGTACTTCGACTCATTGTCTTTATATTTTGTCTTAGAAACTGTAATAGGATATTGTTTTGCAGGACATAAGGAAATCTGTGGTGCCTCTATTAAAAAGCTTCCAAGCCGAAGTAGATAGTTTGTCTAAACGCAGCAAAGCAGCCGAGGCAGCTTTTCTCACAATCTATAGAACTTTTATCGAACTGCCAGGTAAGATATTTTTTTTATCTTTATCATTGATAACCAGTAAACACACTTGACTCTTCTTCCTCTTCACTGGTACGACAGCCCTCTGTGGGTCCTGGCCTTTCCTAAAATTCCATTCCTGTTCTTGGTTAAGGTCTTCCTGGAAGGTGGTTGTTGTTTTACAAATGCAAATCACTCAGAGAAATACGGCAGTCTTATCATTTTTAGGTGAATCGTGCGCAAGTTCAGAGAATATCTGTAATTTTAACAAAACGAGAATGTTTCTAATAATATCTTATGACAATAATTACACACTATAAGATTTCTTATATTTATATTTGTTAAGAATAATTTTTTTCTAAAAAATAAAGTTGTATAATGCTCGTAAATATTGCTGAACGACTTTTTTTGCCGTATTTTTCAGTGTAAACATAAAAGAAGGATTGTTGTAAAAAAAATATAGAATCAAGTTTAAGAAGAAAGTTTATCATATATATAATATATATATATANTATATATTCATTCGATTCGATTTTGCATCTTTCCAGTACAGGCAACCGATATCAAATTTTTGAGATACAATTTCTTATCGATTGTAATAAAAAATGGAAAAATAGATACTTTTCTTTTTTATCATTGATTCTCCTATTTCTTATCTGTAAATGCTATTGAAATAGGTATACAGTTCCTATTTCTTAAACTCTATTTCTTTTACAATTTTATGCAGCATTTTTCCAATATAAGTGATAAATGGTGAATTGAATAGAAAAATGTACTTTTAATTAATACGAATGTTAAGTAAGTACGCATTTCATTTTTCAACAGTTTTATTTACATTTGTTTTTTTTTTATACCTAAATTGAAAAAAAAAAATCAATTGGTTTGAAATGCATGTTCTTACATCGTTTAATATGCTTCGTTAGTAATAAGGAAAAACTATCTAGAATATTAAACAAAACCATTAGTTTTTCTTCACCAATTTTGAAAATTAATGTTCGGTTGTTTAGAATTCAATTCTAAGCATCAAGTTTTTAGAAAATTGATAAAAGACAATGATAAATTTGAAAGAAAATGTACAAATTCACTTCGTTTGAAAATTTTATATGATCCTTTAAAGTTATATAAAACTTTTCTCATACAATTTAAAAAAAAAAAGAATGGTCAAAACTACCTGACTACGGTAAAGTTTATCGTGTTTCTATTCACCAAAAAGTTCACTAATTTTAACCGAAGCGCTTGGTAATAATTTTGGTAAAATTGGCAGCAAGATATCGTTTTATAATGTGCATCAAAATATGGTAAATTAATTAATATATAGTAATTTTATCATAATACCTTAGAGCATGGTATAAAAAACCGCTTATTTGGTTCTATTTACTTTTCAGTTTGGTAGTTGTGCGGTTATAAGAAGTATAATTTTGGCAACAGAAATTTCCTGTCAATCGTTACTATATATATAAACGAAAAAAATTAACAAATAAAGGGTTTAAATATCTCATAGAAGGTTTTTATTACAAAAACTATGTTTATTATTTTTTTTTCTGTCAAACATATATGTCGTTGCCATACACTACAGTAAATTTTTTTTTCTCCGCGTAGGTTTAGTTGCACGATTGCGTAACTTAATTTTTTTAGCATTCATTGTTGAATACGTTGTCGGATACTATTAATTTCAGTAACAATGAAAAGATCACAGACAGTCAGGGAAAGTGATAATAATCGAGGACACACAAACAAGCGCATTTCTGGACATCACAGTGTCCAGTTACCATAGCACCAGGGCGTGGTGGTCATCAGATCAGTATCAATAAATCAATAAAGAAACTGGACTCGCAATGCATGACAATATAGAAAAAGGGGTGGAGCTGATACCTAGATGACGTGACGGCCAATACGCTGAACACATACAAATCAGCCTCACTAAAGAAAACTCGCTTCCGTTTGACCAGGGTCCATTTCTATCGATGCTCTTGCAAGTGGCCAAGTTATCGAGACGGAAACCAGTGAATTATTCCATGCGTGATTAGGTTAGCCCCGTTTCTTTCCGCTTTTATTACTTGAATTTCTCTATTTTTGTTTCGCTTTTTCTCTGGAGTAGTTCGGAGGTAAGGCCGTCAGACAGGGGGGAAATGATTTACCGCATAATGTTTAGCAATATTGGATCCTGATCTGTCATCATAACGATTTCGTTCGTTAATTCGAAATCTCAATTGTTTGATGTGATTAAATATTCAAGTTTAAATTAAACTATTTCAATTTTTTGAAGGATTTGAACTATGTGTGGAAGTAAAAACTGCATGCAATCGGTGAATGTAAATAATTTTAATTATTCAATTCTATGAAGTATTAACAAAATGCAAAAGATATAGAAGAATTTAACTGTCGCAGATTCGTAACAGATACTTCTGATTTTGAATAAAAAATTTTAATAAGAATATTTTTATTTAAACAAAATAGTTAAATACAAATCATGAATTTTAACGAATTATGAGCTTTAGGAATAAGTGCGTATATTTACTACGAAGAGTGCCTGATTTATCATAAGACATGAGAGGCCAGGACCTAGGACCCCCACATTTTTGCCCTCTCCCCCTATTGTTACAAGTAACTTCTTTTTGGCCTTTTTAGCGTTTTCCTTAAGAATTGTCTATTAGAAACAAAAGTCTATTAGTTAATAAAATTTCTAATAAATATAAGCTAAAATTTACAACAGATTGTAATTTGTTCTTATTATAAATAATTTAAAGGCAATTCATAAATGAACAATAAAGTTATGACCAAGGGGCCCCTGATAGTTTTGTACCAAGGGCCCCCACATTTCTAGATCATGCCCTGATTACGTATGATCCATAAATATATCAAATGGTTTTATGAAATATATCCTCAAATAAAACTGTCTTTTGGTCAATAATTACTGCAGCGCGATAGATTGCTGTTAAGTCTATAACACCTTCCTAGACTACAACTTATAGACTATAACTAATTAATCGTTTTTTTTCTTGATCCAAGTGCGTTGAAATTTACGGACCAAGTTAAAATTATTAATACCTCAAAGTCAATCTTTTTTTCCTTCAAAAGGGTTGCAAAACTAACTGTTGTAAAAATGAAAAGAAATGAAAAACGTTTGGAGAAATCATTCTTTTTTAATTTTGAAAATTATTATTCAGTGTTTTAGAAATCAATTGAATGATGATGAATATGATGAATTGCGCTTTGCAAAATGATTGTGTGCGTGCATAAAGACAATTGATAAATTCAAACGAAAAATAAAAGAATGTAATGATATTGAACTACTGCAATTTTTCTGAGATTGAGAACTGAGAAAACTATTTGTAATGCCTATGAGAGCAATTTTGTGTAGGAGTAGAGCATATTGACCGCATTATTTAAAAAAAGTTTACTAAATCAACTAATTTCAATGACAATAGAATTCCATTTACAAAAGAAAGAACACGAGTTCATAATTCCTTGTGTGGGCGAGTGTCTGACGAACGAATGAATATCCAAGGCGAAAAAATAACTTTCATTTTTTCTCCTAAAATAATATCATTGAAAGTATTTCGTATAAATTAACGAAGTCTTATTTTAGTATATTGAACTAACAATTTTTTTTCTTTTTTGGAGATTGAATTTTGAAATAAAAATGTGGCAACGCAAAATAAATATGCGTAAAAAGAGATTTGAAAAAACTTTTAAAGGAATTGGAGTATTTAAATTTCAGTCTTTACAGAATAAAAAGTTTCCAATCACATTTTTTTAATGAATTTTAAACTATTTGGCTTGAATAAGATGTAAATTGATTAATAGTTATAAACTACAGATAGTGTTTTATTTTATATATTTTGGATACGATCCCTTATCTAGTTCATGAATCATGATAGTGCCTATAAATCTAAGTATTTACTCAATATACTAGTTTAAAAAAGAATGCTATAGCATGTTATTATAAATTTATATTTTAATCATATTTTATTGTAAAATAATGTTACAATCATATTTTAAAATTACAAGTGGTGGTAAGTTGAATCATATTTTTGGATGGATTTATGTTCAAAATTATTGCAAAAAATTTAAAAATTCAATAAAATGTCTATTTAAACAAAATGAGAAGTTTTTTCCAATCTTTATACTTAAGAAAAATGGAAGGAAGTCTTTAGTTCTAATTCTTGTATAAGTTTCAAGAATTGAAAATAATGAACAAATCACTAATTTCTGAGATCTTGAAAATTGACTTTGAGAAAATTGACTTAAGGTCTTGAAAATTGACGTTGAACCACAATAAGTAAACAATTGCTGCAGAATTCATAAAGTGTTGAATTGAAAGCTATTTTCATTCAGATTGAACGAGATTTGATTGTTTCATTCAGATTTTCATTGATTGATTGATAGTATTTCGTAATTAAGTTTAAGAAGCACAATAATATGTTTCATCATATTACCATATTAAGATTGCTCTGAATTTGGATGACATTGAAAGGTGTTGTGGCTCATCATATTAAGTATAAACCGTTTCAGTTCTCTTTTCTTGTTTGTAGTAATTAAAATAAACAGTTTTAGTTTTAAAAATGTTCGATAACATTTTTGAACGACAAAAGTGAACGCGCATGCATTAATGAAATTTTGTATTGAAAGTTAACTTTCTTAGGTTCTTTTGCTTTTCTCGCACACTGTTAGGAATTTCTGAAAAAAAAATGGTTAAACAACAATTTATTCAATTGTTATTTCACCGTATTCAAATGAAACAGTCAAATAACCAGAAAAAGATCGTATTCAAACTGTTAACTGCGAGAAAAATCGTATATTGACAGTTTTTTTTATTTTTTTATTTTTAAATCTAATACTGTTAAACAACCAGAATTTTATCTGTGCGAACTAGGCCCACTTTATAAAGCCTCTTCGTTTAACATAACCATCCGGCATACATTATAGCTGAAAGGGCTAATCTCATAAGCAGATGAACGGGGGGGGGGTTTGAATTCCAGCGTTCACAGTGCAGTTTTTAGTCCATTCCATAACCACGTGAA